TTTAATCGTAAATTTTACCCAAAGTATGAAAGTGTGTGAATGGTATCAAAGAGGTGGAGAAACACACGTGAGACCCCGTGTACTGCTGTGTCTGAGTTACAGTAGGCAGGTTGCAGAAATGCAGGCACATTCTTGCTGCTGGAGTTGGTATGTTGCCTTGGGGACAAGAAACCTAATTTTCTTTGAAAAAAGCAGTTTCCGAAAGATTTTGGGTGTGATTTCTGACATGGAGTCAGAGTTGGAATGAGCAGTGTTATCTTGTCTGTTCGTGACCTCTGGAACATCTAGATCTTGGGGCCAACATCTGTATAGACCGTGGACTTCTATGGCTGTTATGTTTTACACCTGATAAATTTTGGGAGTTCAGGGACTTTCTATAGTGGCATTAAAAATTACCTGTGATATTTTTCTACTGTGCTGATTCTAACTGAACAGTGGAACTATAAACCTCAGGCTCATCCTCCAGAAAGAGAATCCTGCTGGTGACCAGCACCTGTGGCTGTTGGTTTGGGATGATCAGAGGATGTCAAGGTGATGTGTTACACACACTGTAATACAGGTTTGTTGGCACTACAGTGTTGCTGAGTGTGGCAGGGCTGTTTGTGGGCTGAGAAGCATGGATCCCCAGAGGACTTGTGGAGTCTTCTTCTTTGGAGACTTTAAAGAACTATCTGGATACATTTCTGAGTGACCTGCCCTGGACTTGGTCCTGCTCTGGCAGGGGGATTGGACTCAATGATCTCCAGAGGTCCTTTCCAAACCCTGACATTCTGTGATTCTGTGATGTTGAAGTGGACTTGGTTTTAAGAGGTAGATGTCTGTCCTGGTGTGGTCCCAGGGACTGAAAGCCCATGAGCAGTTTGGGTGTGGTGAGTAAGCCCTCATGTGCATCATATCTACCCGTATTTTTTTGTTGTTGTTTTTTCTAGTTTTACCTGTAAGGAACCTACTTCACAGTCACTACAACTGCTCCAAGGTGCAAAGCAAACATAGGGGCAAACAGGAGGTTTCCTTTAAAATCTCACTTGGCACTAAAAAGAAGCCTAAGTGCCCTATACTCTGTTGTATTTCCTGTAAATGCACAGAATGTTTTGAGGAAAACCTGGGATTTTTCTAAGGGCCAGAAAACTGGGCCTCAAGGTTCTTGCTACATTTTCAGAATGGATTTGAGACTTAGAGGTGCAAATATCTTTAAACATTTTCAATGGTCTCTTTGCAAATTAGGCTGGAAATCTAAGACTGGTAGGAATTATTTCTCATTTCTGCTTCTTTTTCGATCATTCTTTGTGTCTTTACTGTTATTTAATTGCTTTATCTAAAATAAAGAACAATATTATTCTGTTGAGTGTCCAAAACAGGTAGTCAATTGCACATGAAAATAGAAGATTTGGGGGAAATAAACTAGCATTAATGAAGTAGATCTGCTACTATGTGTGGTATGTGTGTGTATGCCTGGGTCCATTTATTTTTTCCTCCTCAAATTTTCTTCTTTTCAGCCTTTCCTCCTCTGTGTTAAGTTTCCATTTACTTGAAGCTAAGAAACCTTCACCATCACCTCCCAGACAAGCTCTGGGACCTTGTTGGGGCATGAGGGAACATGGAGTTCATGTGGTTCATAGGTTACCAGGTTTATTTTCTTTCCCATTATTGTTTTTCCTTGGCAGCCATCCTTGCCAAGTTGTCACTTCAGCATGAAGCAAGGAGGTGGCCATGTGTGTTGAGCACTGAGAGCATCATGGCTGCTGGCTCTGGGGTCAGTGGCTCCCCTCTCCATCCCACCTCTGCTCCTTTTTGCCATCATCCCCTTGCTCACATCACGTACAGTGGGGTTCCCACAACTCTGAGCTGCCTCCTCAGCTGGCTGCAAAGTCTACTCCCCAGGCTGGAGGTAACCACACTGCAGAGCCCTTTGCTGGGGGCAGGTCTGGCTTTGTCCCTAGTTTTAAGGGTGGGCAGCCAGGGGCAAACCTAGATATAAAGATTTGTCAAAGGGAAAGAATTATTACATCCTCTCCTCTCTGTACTGCTGCTGTATTTTCTTTTTAATTTGGTAGCTTGTGTTTGGGACAGGAAGGAGGGTGGTTTGGTGTTGCTTGTTCTTCTCACAATTCCTTGCTTCCCTTAGCTGAGCCAGAACTGAGCACTGGTTGTCTCCAGGGCACTGGCTGAGTGACTGGTCCTGTTGTGGGGGTAAACACAGAAGTGAGATTTCATAAAAATTAAACAAGCACCGAAAAAATGGATAAAGGAATATCTAGGTTAAAAAAAAACAAAACAGGTAATTTGCATATTTTTCAGTTTTGTGTCCTCATCAGACAACCCGTGTATGTACTGCACATATTTCTGTGTTTTTCTGGCTGTTACAGCGCGGAAGCTGGTGTTGCACTGCCACCTTCTGATGGCCAGGCAGGGCTGTCCTCCTCCTTGCCTTACCAAAGCAGCTTGTGGACACACAGTTTGAACCAGCTTTGAAAAATGATACTCCTTTGACATGGGCAGAGTGAATAACACTTTTGACGGACAAGCCAAATGGTTGCTTTTTTTCTTTAGCTATCCAGCCTACATAACAGGTGAATTTATGTGGCATCTCCACAATTCAGCTTTGAGTGGAGAACCCTCTTTATATTAATAATGAAGGTCTTCTCTGTGTAGCAAATAGCACTTTCTTCTGATTTCTGCTTTTTGATCTACCTCTTTGGATGATGCAGCAGCAAGATTTTTAAAATCAGTAACAAACTCATGAAACAAATTATTTGTGTGATGTAGAGGCTTCTTTACAAGTCCTTTTAAATTTACTTTGCTTTTCTTCTTAAGGAGAATATTGTTCCTCTTCCTACAGAACTTCTCTGTAACACAGTCTGAAATAAAGATGATTTGCACTAGGTATGACAACAAAAGAGCTGAATAAAATTAGTGTTTGATCCTGTATGTGGCAGCATTGGTTGCTAATGCATTAAATGCTTAAAAATGACATTCATTTCACACAGAGCTCAATATTGTCTATTGTCAGTTGGCAGGTACACTTGGCTCGGGGCAGGGTTACTATCAGTGTACCTTTACAAGTTGTGTTGCACTAGCTAGAAGTTACTGTACTGGAGCAGTTATTTCTTTCTTTAGAAATGAGAAGGGTTTAAGTAGCTTTGCATATTTCTTTAAGGACCTAAAAACATCCTCCCCTCTTTGGCAGCACGGTATGCTCGAGCTTCTGCATGAGCACGAGATCTGGTTTTCCATGGACTCGTCCAGCATTGTGTGCAACCCCAGCTCCCCCACTTGCGTCCCACTGGCCACAGCTGGGTTGAGCCCTCCTTCCACAGCTCGGATTTTGTCATGATCCTTGTGCTCTGTTCAAACCAAGTGGGCAGTGTGGTTGGCCATGTGTCTGGGGTGTGTTTGGGGGTGTCCATGTGCTTATTGATTCACCAGGGTTCACGTGTAGTTTGGGCAAACACACTCCTTTTTTTTTGTCTGGGTTCATCCTGCAGCCTCTCCTCTTCTTGAGGAGCTTGGTTGAGTCTTTCCTCTACAACACTATGGAACTTGTAGGAGAGCCCCATCTTGGAAAGCTTCCTGCTGTCAAGTTGGGGTGCAGTTGAATGGTAAAACTCAAAATCTTGGTGGTAAGAAAGAGAGTGTGGTCATTTTACCCCATTTCCTTGGGAAACCTTGTTAGGAAAAGTTGCTTAGAAAGACTGTGTAAACATTTTGTCGTTTTGGCAGCTTTACAATGGGGATGGTAATCTTGTAGTTGTTGCTTACACCTGTGAGCACTGCTTTCCCACTTGGAGCAACAAAGGTGAGCAGCCTGACCATGCAGCTGGTCATTAATGGCGAGAATTTTCTGTTCTGAAAAGCACGTGAACACCCATTCTCTGATCCTTTTTTTAATGTTGGATCCAGGTCAAACTTTGTCAAATAACAGTAGGAAAGTCACTTTCTCAGACCCTAGTTCCATAGAAGGCAATCATGGTGGTAGGCAGCTGGGTAAAAATCTTGAAGATTTGCTGATGAGAAGTGCAGGACGGGTGCTAAGAATCTCTTCCATGGTGGATGAACCTATTTCTGTTCTAGAAAGTGGTATTTATACTTGTTTACTAGATGTCATGGAAAGATTAGGATTTTCAAGCATTCAGAAGTCATGAGAATGTTCTCAGAAATGAGGCCTAAAGTTAGAAAAAAATACTGTATTCTGCCTCAAGCTTTGTGTTTTAAAGATTCTTGTTGCTTCATAATTTCAAAATGTGTCATAAACATTATGTGTAGTCTGATGTGTTGTCTTGCTAAATATTTGCCATTCATAAAACCAAGGGAAAATTGTGTATGTATACATCAATATTTTAAAAGCATTAATTGAAAGCCTAGAGAAATGGTACTAAAAATGTTCTGTTTAAAGTTTGTCTCTAATTTAAAGAATTCCTTTTGCAAAGCGTAACTGTATGGCTGAGATGTCTTCTGCTTTTTGGTGGAAATAGCTGGGCTTTTATTGAACAGATACAGTGTTATAGCCCATATTGTACCTTTTTTGCTAGAGCAGGAGTACCTGAAAATTGAAGTAAATTAGAAAGTAAAAGTGAGAACTTGTCTGGATACCAACATGAAACTAAGTTTTTGGTCTTTGTGAGCCAAGAAGCGAGAAATCCACGTTTTGAAAATATGTTCCGTAGCAATCATGTTCATTAGATGAAATTCACTTGATTTTATTTTTATTTTTTTAAACTGTGAATTTGGGCCTTTTTAATTCTGGTATTAAGCAGCATAGTTCCTCAGTCCATACCAAGGTGCATAATTCGAGAATCCGGCCCTTCAATATTTAATTTACCAACCTTTATGTTGTGGTGAGACAAATGACTTTTTAATGACTACAGTCGGCTTATTTGCATTATAAAATAAAACCACTGTCTATGCTGCCAGGGAACTACTTAATTTATAAATACAGCATTTGTTGGGATATACATATCAAATACTAAACATACTCAATTGACCTATTTATTTATTTTCAGGGTTGTGTCCTTTGTTGTGACCTCATGGTTTAACTGGGAATAAAGATGAGTATAAGCAGTGATGAGGTTAACTTCCTGGTATATAGATACTTGCAAGAGTCAGGTGAGTTTTTACAGTTCTGGTTGTTAAACAATACATCATGTACTTGCTATTCATCTGCAACTGTCTTTAGCAAAGTCAGACTCAGTTAATTATTTTGCCAGTAGGCATGTGCTTCTGTCAGAGCTGCTTCTTGGTGTTTCTTCTCAACAAGAGAATGAATTCCTGCCAAGTTACCTTCTGTAACTTAATCAGATTTAGCCATTTGGAGTTTTCAGATGGCAGTCAAGTTACAGAAGGAGTAACTTACAGTTGCAGATTGCTTTTGTCACAGAAGCCAAACTTATAAAATTGCTTTATCTGAAAGTTTGCAGGCAGCTTCCTAGTTACCTGACAAAAAGTAAAAAAAACAACATACCAACCAAAAAAACAAACAAACTAACAAGACCCCAAAAAACAAATGAACAACAAAGAAAAACAAAACAAAAATCCAAAAGAATTAAACAAACAAAAAAAACAGCCCAGTAGTTTAAGAAAAAATTATGTGACAGTAAACTTAATTTGCTGAAACAACTATATTTCTCCAGGTGAAATTTGCCTTTTCAGAACAATCAGATGAATAGCAAGCAAGGACCAGTGCTGCACCATAATGTACTTGCTTCTCAATCAGTGCATGATACGGATGTAGTTCTAAGTGCCAAAACATGCAGTTCTGATAGCACTGTTGCTATGTATAGATCCATTTCACTTTCATGGGTAAGAAATCAATGAGTAAAAATAACAAGTGAGTCTTAGTGTCTTGGAGATATACAGTATTTAATAAAATATGTACAGGACATATATCTCTAGAAAATATAAATATATTTAAAGACTATTGCATATTTTTATATTTACTTATGCACAAATGTTTTGCCTGTGATACCAATATTAATATATGTTATGTTTATAAATATTTTTTTGTCTTTTGTGCATTTAAGCTAGAACCATATGACAGAAACAACAAAAGTGTTTTGATGAGGTTCTTTTAGTTCATAAGGATTGCTAAAGCTTTGTGTAACTTGCTTAGATTTGTAAAAAGAAGATGCTGCCGTGTCTGGCAAGTGGCATTGTCTATCTGTAAATAAATACTGATGGTTTTGCTTTCTCTTTAGGGTTTTCCCATTCAGCATTTACCTTTGGTATAGAGAGCCATATCAGCCAGTCTAATATAAATGGTGCTCTGGTGCCACCAGCTGCTTTGATTTCCATCATCCAGAAAGGTCTGCAGTATGTAGAGGCAGAAGTCAGTATTAATGAGGTAAGGAGGCTTTGGCTACAGGAGCATTGTCCTTGCAGTAAGTTTGAATGTTAGTGTTTATTCTTAACTTTCTTGTATCCTATTTATTTACTTTTACTTCAGATTCCTTACTGCTGGTGTTCACCATGACTCCAGTGGTGGAACCAGAATGGAGTGACATAACTGGGTAGGGGTTCTGCCCAGTGCAGCCACACAACACCAGGCATGGTGTTCTGGCTCATTGCTTAAAGGTCCGTTGTCTGTAGAGTTTTTACCCTAATATAATATTGTAGTAAATCCAGACAAGTGCAATAAAATAATGATTGAGACAAGTAACCTCTTAATTTTTGCTTTTGTAGACCTGCACTAGGGAAGTGGGAGAGTGCTGTGCAGCTCTCATTTGGGTGATGTGTCGTTATAATGAAGTAATGAGAGCCCAAGGGCAAGGTTTCCAAATAGAGAGAGGGTTTCAATTAGTGGCAGGAAGGATAAAGGTATATGCCAGTTAGCTTTTTGCTTGTGCTGGCTAATTCATCTTGAGCAGGATCTATTAAATTTGATGTTTAAATGGTTATTTCAGCAGCCCAGAAAACTGTGTGTCTTCCTTCCTGATGCTGCAGGTCCCCACGATTTCCATTCTCATGTATGCCTGGAAGGCTAGCAGCCTTTGTGTGTGTCAGTTCTATTGCAGAAGGAGACAGAGTTTTTTCACTAATTCTGTTCTCTTTCCCATCTCCCTTATGTCTTCTGTGTATGTGTAGTTTTCATAGTCCCTCTGAAGCAAACCCTTTCCCTTAGGAAGCTTCAGAAAAATAAAGCAAGTGATTAGAATAGAAGAAGGAGACCCTATATTTATCTCAAGGAATCCTTCTAGCTCCTAAAAATAGATCCTTACAAAGCCCTAGCATATGTTTATGGGTATTTTTAACTGGGTCTTGTCCATTTCAGGATAAAATTTTTCCTTGTTGTTGGGAAGTATGCCAGCACTGTTTAAAAAAGGAAGAAAACTAGTCAACTCTCCAGATAATAAGTTTATGGAAAATATTAGTCTTAATAAGATCGAGTAACTTCACAAGCCAGTGACCCAGCGTGCAATGTTTGCAGCTTTTCAAACAAACCATTAGATTTTTTTGCAGCCACTCATGTTTGAAATTATATTCATAGATAGCTTACATAATTTTTTGCTTTAGCAGATGATTTAGCAAACACAAAGCATGTAACTTTAGATTCCAGAAGCTCTGCCAGAGGCCTGCAGTGGCTTTTTTTCTATAGTTATGGTGGCTACTTAACTTTAGACTAAAATCCCAACCATGACTATGATGAGATATCACTTCCAGCACCATCTGTAAGCTGTTCTATTACATTATATATATTATATATAGTAAATAAAAACTTTTGCTTTAGTTTTCCTTGGAATTTTTGCCCATAATGTTAATTTGTACTTGGTGTTGTCTTTTTTTGTTCTTTCCCTCTGCTGCAATTTAGGATGGTACCTTGTTTGACGGTAGGCCGATAGAGTCTCTCTCACTGATAGATGCAGTAATGCCTGATGTGGTACAGACAAGACAACAGGCCTACAGAGACAAACTTGCACAACAGCAGGCAGCAGCTGCTGCAGCTGCAGCCACCACCAACCAACAGGGATCAGCGAAAAATGGGGAAAATACTGCAAATGGAGAAGAGAACGGAGCACACACTATAGCAAGTAAGCTGAGACAGAAATGACCTGAACCTGTGCCAGCGTCACAGCAACTGCCTTGTCATTATCGTGCCACGAGCTAGTAGGCTGTGAGGTACATGTGTAGAGGCACCAGTAACCCTTCAGCTTGCAGAGAACAGGTGGTGTCTCACCTTTGTCCCCAGTTTGATATTTGGAATTTCAGGAGGAAATGCAAATTTCTGAATTGTTTAATTCTCAGTATCCATTGACCAGTCTCACTGCCCAAACTGCTCCTTTCCCATCACCAAAATGTTCCTATCCAGCCGTGCACGTTTGACGTTTTACAGCTGGATTTTACTAGGTTGTTTTTGGTTTGTTTTTTTCATTTTAACATATATTAAAAAAACTTGGAAATATAATATTTGCCTTAAACAAATATGCTCTGTATTTTAAAAATCTCCAAAGAATATGTGCTTGTTAACCATGAACTGGATCTACAAGGTTCAGCCCTCGGCCACCGCTAAATGTGATGTATCAGCAACCCCTGCTGGCCGGTGCCCCGAATTATACTGGCATCAATTCTCTTGAATTGAAGCAATGTTTTATATGGTGCTCTTTAAAATATTCATGTTCTTATAGCTTTTTTTTTTGTTGTTTTCCTGCATATGCAAACAGTGGCAGAAACACTTAATGTTAAATCAAGCAATAGATGTGAAATGGTTTGTTTGCCCACAGTGAATGAATGCAAACCAGGTGAACTGTTCAGCATTTTTTACATTCTGCATTTACACTCAATGTGAATTTGTCTTTTATAATACAAAATTATTGATGGTAGCTGGCAAGAAAAATGTTTTTTCAGTTGAATTGACCCTGCTATGTTATACAGAACAATATGGATGCAACATCACTTCCCCACAAAAAGCCATGGATTGTCACAATTCCACAATAACTGCCAATGCAGTTTGAAAAGCTCTGTTACCAATTTACTGTCTCTCCAAATGTTGTTAGATTAATTAAAACCATTTTGTAAATGAAGTTTCTGAGATGTAGATTTATAACCTGTTTACTGTTGGTGAAAAGAGCTTTTTTTGAAAATGGATGTGTCAAAAAAGTGTTTTTAAAGCACATGGAAGACTAACATGTTGTACTGTGTAGTATCATTCCCCGAAAAATGTGAGTAGTTTTAACATCAGTGTTTTGTTTTTTTTTAATAATGGGCGGGGAAACAACTAAAAAAACCCAAACTAAAACCATAGCAAACCACTTCTGGCCTCAGTTTTGAAGTTTCAAATTTAAGTCCATTTGGCTGTTGAGGTTACAGGCTGCCCAGAGACATTGTGGAGTTTCCTTCTCTGGAGACATGCCTTTGTGACCTACTGTGGGGGATCCTGCTCTGGCATGGGGTTTGGACTAGATGATCTTTTGAGGTCCTTTCCAACCCCTAACATTCTGAGATTCTGTGAGAAGGGCTAAGAGCTTTCTCACATTTTGGAAACTCACCATCTGTTTATAGTACTTTGTAAACTGGAACTTGAAACATAAAGGAACATTGCAGCTCTCTCTGTCAAATGTTTGTCAACGTAAATTGTGAATTAATTGTTACACTCATTCCAGAAGAATATTAACTGTACAGTAGTTATAGTGTATTGTCCCAAAATATTAAAATCCACCTCTCTCTACTGTTTCCCATAATGCAGATAATCACACAGACATGATGGAAGTAGATGGAGATGTTGAAATCCCTCCCAACAAGGCCGTGGTGCTACGTGGCCACGAATCTGAAGTGTTCATCTGTGCCTGGAATCCTGTTAGTGACCTTTTGGCCTCAGGGTACGTGCA